TCCCCCGGGGCTGGGCTGGGCTGGGCTGGCTAACGCTGGGTCACTTTGTGTTGGGTCACGTTGGGTTAGATTAGGTTGTGTTGGGTCACACTGGGTCACTTTGGGTCATGTTGGGTCACACTGGCTTGTGTTGGGTCACATGGCGTCACTTCATGTTGGGTCACGTTGGGTTACACTTGATTGGGTCACTTTGGGTGGCTTTGGGTCACGTTGGGTCACACTGGGTCACTTTGGGTCATGTTGGGTCGCACTGAGTCACTCTGGGTCACACTGGGTCATACTGGGTCACTTTGGGTCGCACTGGGTCATGTTGGGTGGCTTTGGGTCACACTGGGTCACTCTGGGTCACTTTGGGTCACATTGGGTCATGTTGGGTCACACTGAGTGGCTTTGGGTCATGTTGGGTCACTGGGTCATTTTGGGTCACATTGGGTCACTCTGGGTCACACTGGGTCATACTGGGTCACTTTGGGTCGCACTGGGTCATACTGGGTCACTTTGGGTCACGTTGGGTCACACTGGGTCATGGTGGGTTGCACTGGGTTGTGTTGGGTCGTGTTGGGTCGTGTTGGGTTGCGTTGGGTTGCGTTGGGTGGAATCCCCGTTTCCGTTGGCAGTCTCCCTCTTTTTGCTCAGCCTTTGCAGGGATGTGACTCCAGGAGATGCCCTTGGACAGGGGCCGGACGCCCCGGGGGTCACCCTGGTCACCCCCACCCCAAATTCCCATCGTCGCGTTCCCTCCCAGGGCTGTCGCTCAGGGTGCTGGACCTGGCACCTCCTCGGGATTATCCCGGGGTCCCCTCGGGGTTCAGCGGACCCAGAACTGGGATGTGGAATCGGGTGGGGAGCGATGGGGCAGATTTGGGAATCCCCTGACCCGAGTCCCCTCTCCGGGCAGGACAAGAACAGGAAGCTGAGGCCCCTCTACGACATTCCCTACATGTTCGAGGCCCGGGAATTCCTGCGCAAGAAGCTCATCGGGAAGAAGGTACGGACACGAGGCTGGGATGAGGGGACAAGGGATGGAACAGGGCTGAGGATGAGGGAATGAAGGAGGGGATGAGTGTGATGGGAAATTCCGGGATGCCTCCAAGCCTGGAGTGCCCCTCCAGGCGTTGCACTCCCCATTTCCCAGGAATTCCGCCTCGCTTCTCCCCTTGTTTCCCTGGAGTATTTTCCGAGGCTGGTTCAGAGCAATTCCGGGAATGAGGAACGTGTTAACCAGTGGAGTGAAAGCTCCAGATGCAATTTTCCAATGCTCATAAAACAGTCAAATAAAATCAATTCCCTTCATGGCGCGGCCGTCGCCGCTCGTCGGGGCTGCTTCGGTGCCTAATTGGATCTTTCCAGCTCGGAGCCTGCCTGGGTAGTCCGAAAAACAGGGAAAGGGGAAAAGAGCAGCTTGGAAGATTTTTTTAATGGGAAATCTGATGCTTCCCGGAGTCAGAAAATAATGTGGGAGTTCTGTTGGGATTTGTGATGGGAGCGCCGGGTCTGGAATGGGATTCTGGCACCTCAGAGTGGTCCCAGTTTGAGCCACTCCAGGGTTACTGGTGCCAGTTTTCTGCCATCCGCCGTTGCTGCGCGCTGCGTTGGATCAGGAGTTGGAATTGGCTCTGGCACTGGGTGCCTTTGGAGGGTGGCCGTGGGGATCCCTGGGATTCCGGGGTGTTCCGGGATGAAGGGAGCTCGGCCTGTCCCGTGTGCCTGGCTGTTCTGAGGAGCTGTGGGATTCCAAGGAGTTCTGGAATTGGGGGAGCTCAGCCTGCCCTGCTTCCCGGCCTGCCTCAGGAGCTCCACCCATCCCCATCGCTCCGGGGCCCATCCTCAGGGATCCTGTCCCTGTGCCTTGGGAGACTCCTCATGGACACATCCCAGCCCATCCCAGCCCATCCCAACGGACGCAGCTCCCACCCCCGG